ATAATGGTTCTGAATCTTCTTTTGTGAGTAATGTGAAAGCTAAACAATGTCTTGATCCAATTTTGGTTGAATTATAAGAAACAGTACTCAAGAAGTCTGTTGAGACTTTCTCCCAAGGGGGAGATGGGGTACTTAGATACCAAGGTCGATTATGCGTTCCAAATGTTGATGAGTTAAGGGAATTTAATGGTTCTGAATCTTCTTTTGTGAGTAATGTGAAAGCTAAACAATGTCTTGATCCAATTTTGGTTGAATTATAAGAAACAGTACTCAAGAAGTCTGTTGAGACTTTCTCCCAAGGGGGAGATGGGGTACTTAAATACCAAGGTCGATTATGCGTTCCAAATGTTGATGAGTTAAGGGAATTTTTTTTAGCCGAAGCCCATAGTTCTCGATATTCTATTCACCCAGGAGCCACCAAGATGTACCGTGATTTGTGAGAGATCAATTGGTGGAATGGGATGAAGAGGGATATTGCGGGATTTGTGGCTTAGTGTCCAAATTACCAACAAGTGAAGGTTGAGCACCATAAACCGGGAGGTTTATGTCAAGACATTAGTATTCCAACTTGGAAGTGGGAAGATGTGAATATGGACTTTATAGTAGGGTTGTCACGGACTCGACGCCAATATGATTCAATTTGGATTATAGTAGACCGAATGACAAAATCAGCCCATTTCATTCCCGTCAAAGTTTCTTATGTGGCGGAAGACTTTGCCAATTTGTATTTGAGGGAAATGGTAAGATTGCATGGTGTGCCATTGTCCATTATATCCGATAGGGGTACTCAGTTTACTTCTCAATTTTGGAAGTCATTCCAAAAGAGTCTTGGCACTAAAGTGAAGCTTAGCACAACTTTTCACCCACAAACCAATGGGTAAGCGGAGGAATGATCCAAACTTCAGAGGATATGTTGATAGTATGTGTTATTGATTTCAAGGGAAATTGGTATGATCACTTGCATTGATCGCGTTCGCTTACAATAACAGTTACCATTCTAGTATTGGTATGGCCCCCTTTGAAGCTCTTTATGGTAGAAGGTGTAGATCTTCCATATGATGGTTCGAGGTGGGTGAAGTTTACCTGATTGGGTTCGAGTTAGGTCATGAGTCTATGGAAAAGGTTAAGCTTATTAGAGAGAGTTTAAGGACAGCCTAAAGGCGACAAAAGTCCTATGTCGATGTTAGAAAGAGAGACCTTGAGTTTGAGGTTAGTGATTGGGTCTATTTGAAAATCTCACCCATGAAGGGTGTGATGAGATTTGGGAAGAAAGGGAAACTTAGTCCCCGTTACTTAGGCCTGTATCTAATCTTGAGACGTGTTGGGCAGGTTGCCTATGAGCTTGATTTGCCAAATGATTTGTCAATGGTGCATCCGGTATTCCATGTATCTATGCTTAAAAAGTGTGTAGTTCCCCTAAAAGGATTGGGAGTTGATGAAAATCTCTCTTATGAAGAAGTACCGGTTGAGATTCTAGACCGGCAAGTTAAGAAATTGAGAAACAAGGAAGTTGCTTCCATGAAGGTATTGTGGAGAACCACTTAGTTGAGGGTGCTACTTGGGAGGCCGAGGCTGATATGAAGTTCCGATATCCTCATCTCTTTCCTTCTACTTTAGCTTGAGGCAATGAACTTTCTCTTGTTTTGTTTATGATTGAGCCATGTGTGATTTAGATGTTCCCTTGATTTCCTTATGTTATCCATGTTCATGAAAACTTATGTCTAGATAGAAAATGAGTTTGTATGATCGATTTCTCATGTTGTAGTGCATTGAGTATGAGTTTCCTATAGACTCCATGATATGAATAGATGGACATGTTTAGATATGCTTTTGAGATTGAATTGCATATGAGCTCCATAAGATTGTGTTGAGCATGTTTTGAGATGGAGAAGGCAGTTCCTCTTTGAATATATGAAATCTGAAAATTTGATGCATATTGGATTGTTAGATGTAGTTCCTACTTCCTTAAGATGCATTGAGTAGATTTGATTCGGAGTTGATGTTCCTCCTTAGTTGTGTACATTTTGATATGTTGCATGCATGATGGGCTGCTACTCTTAAGTCTTGTGCCTAGAAATGTGCTTAGAATCTCATTCGAGGATGAATGATCCCAAGTGGGAGATATTGTAACACTCCGAACCTAAACAGAGGGTTTAGCATGGTAGGACTCCAAGGTACCACCTCACAAGGACCAACCTAGAGCCCACAAGAAAGCCCCAAGGGAAACTGCCTGAGGCAATGAACCATGGCCAGGACCACGCTTCGTGGGTGGGTTTACGGTCCGTGAATGGGGCAGTTGAGGATTGGCCAAAAGTCTCTGACCATGATTCACGATTGACCAGGGCGGACCGTTGGTCCATCCACGGTCCGTAGGTCATGGTCTCGTGGGTAATGTCAGTGAAATTATTTTAGGGACTTAAGGGTCTTTTCCAGTTTTTATTAAATGAAAGTGGTGTCGTTTTGCCTAATTCTAGGACACCTATATAAGCATTTTTAACCCCCAAAACCCCTCATTCAACTCATCCTCTCAAATATTCTCTCTCTAGAAGTTGGAAGAAGAAGGAAAAAAAGGAAGCTAGGTCAAGATCAAAGCTCCAAATTTCAAGCTTTTGAGGGCATTATAACCAAGGTATGATAGCTCTTCATCCATGGAGTCCCCTAGAATTCCCCCAATTTGATGAAGAATTTCTCAATTCTAACTAGGGTTTCTTCAATTGTAGTGGGTTATGTTGATTATGGATCCAATTGAGTGGATTATGATTGTTTATGATATAATTAGTATAATTACATGTTTTTAGAATGAAATCACATGTATCCATGCATATCCCACGATTCTAACCTAGAATTGAGATAATTGGGTAGATGCCATGAAGGGAAACTTTGTGGGTTTAGATGTATCCTTATAGGATTGATGAATTATGCATAGAACTTCTTGATAATGATTCTTAGATGATTATCATGATACCTAGGGCTTTGAGAGTAAAGCTTACAATGTGAATTATTAATTATTGATGTTCAAGTTGGGGAAGAGATACTTCCTACATGAATTGCTAATTATGAATGAATGTGAAAGGCTTTCTCACGTGAATGATTCTAGGTTGAAAGGATTACTCACCTAAAATGAATCTAGACTAAAAGACTATGTAATTGATGAGGCTAGAGGCGATTACCCTTGACCTCCATATGAATGGATATGAGGTGATTCCCCTATTCCTTAAAATTGAACTAGAGGTGAGTCCCCATGTTCTTATGATGTTGAATGGACATGGATGCAAATACCCATGATCCCTATGAAATAATGTGGATGCAAGTACCCATATTATATGATGAATGATGTGGGTGCGAGTACCCGCATCATATGATAAGGTTGTGGAGGTGAGTACCCGCAATCTAAAAGTAAGTAAGGCAAGAAGTGAATACCCATTATCCTTTGTGAGTTAGGCAAACAGGTGAATCCCTATGTCTTTAAAAGTAAGTACTAATAATGAGATTAAGATGTAAAGAATGAATAAATTGGATTGTTTCTAGAGATGTCTTCCATGTGGTAAGCTTGACTAGAGGTGGATGACCCAACTCTTGACTAGGGATGAATAAGGTTGCTTGAGAAGTATTCCTTTCTTATTATGATATTGATGTATGTGCATGATGTTTATGTTGTTTATGCTAGCTATCATATTTAGTACTTGATTGTACTAATGCATACTTTGCCTACATTATTATCAAATGTAGGGTCCGGTGACATAGATTCTCACACTCGTGGCTAGCTTCTTTGTTGATTCAAGGAGACAAGATTGGTGAGTCCAAATTGTTTTCGAGGATGGCATCACCACTTACTTTTATGTCTTTCCTTTATGTTTGGGACTATTATATGGGCTGTATCCCAAGATTTTATTTTTCATGTTTAGATGGTCTGAGACAATATTGTTAGACTTCCGCTTCGTTTTATAAAGACTTCGATTGTATTGAAAAGTTTTAATTTTCACTCATCTCTATTACTTTATGTTATGATATGCTAAGTGGCTTGTATGAGGCCTCTCGGGGTCTGATACGCCTTGTTACATCTAGGGGGTACCCCTGGGTCGTTACACCACGTCATCGTGAGTGTATTACACTCATTTTTATATTTTTAAGTTGATTGTGAATAAAATGTTGAAATGGTAATTCGAGTTGGTATAGGTGTTCAATAGGTACAAGCCGTAGTTGAGGTGTCCAAGTGAAATCTGCGGACAACTTTAAGGGGTTGTTGATGACTTAAGCCAAGCCTATAAATGCTCATGTTGCATGAGTTTAAAAAACTTGCACATAGTGCTTTCTAATTTATTTTTTTCATTTCAAAAATTTTAATTCTTTCAATGCATGGACAAAATTGTTGAGATCTCAACATACTCATCTAATTTTCATGTGTTTTTAAAACTATGTACTTTTTTATTTTAAAAAAATCACACTTTTTTACTTTGCTTTGATTATTTTGCAATCATCTCTAAAAAATCAAACGTATTAGCCAGTCAACAAGACAAAATAAAAAATCTAATAACTAAGATTAAAATATCAACTAAGATGAAGATGAAATAGTACATAAAGTAAAACAATATAGAATAATGAGAAGTAGAAAAAGTTAATGTCAAGTACTCCAAATTGAGGTGGAATGTGATTAAGACCCAACTTGTATTAATAATTAGTCCTAAATTTTTATGTCCTGTTACTTCAAAATATCAAAAGTTCAGATATTTATTATATTTACACGAAATATAAACTTAATAGTAGGAAGAACTAGATCAATATTCATATTTTTCAATGCAACAATCTGGATAGACTTTTTCTCCCATAACGTATAAGATGATTTGTATTTCATAAATAATAAAATTATTAATATGATTAAGCTAATAATTTTAAAAAAAATATTATAAACACTTTTCACGCGTGAGTAATATACATCTCTCTCTCTTAATATATATATATATATATATATATATATATAATTGAAGATGAAGGTTCAAGTAGTTAGTTAGGTTCACAAAGTTAGTTGAGGGTTAATTAACTCTACTTGTCGTCATTATAGTCGGTTAAGTTTGTTACACAATTCTAGAAGATTAGAAGTAGTTAGTAACTAGTACAATTGTATATATAGGAGCTCTTTCATTTTTTAAACACATTTTTAATGTGAAATACAAAATTTCCCAATTCTCTCTTCTCTCTTCCTAAATTCATCATGGTATCAGAGCATTGAATTGATAATTGTTTGATTCACTGCAATCGATCCTGAAAACCCCCATTGAAGAAACATAGAGTTTTGATAGCTGACAATGCCTTCTGCAATTGAAGAAGTAGCAGCTGCAACTGTTACAATAAAGACACTTTAAGTAATTGAATCAAAGAGGAATCATCCTCTTTACCTCCATCCATCGGACACTCCAGGCTGTGCTTTAACCTCGGGTCAACTCACTAGAGCAGAGAATTATGCATTATGGAGTAGATACATGTTAATCACTCTTAGGGCAAATAGTAAGATCGGTTTTGTACTCGGAACATGCAGAAAAAAAGATTATGCACCGAAATTGGAGGAGCAATGGGAGAAATGCAATGCATTTCTGCTCGCCTGGATTATGAACAGAGTCTCAAAAAAATTATTGAGTGGAATTGTTTATGTTTCAGATGCTGTAATGGTATGGGCAGATCTGAAGGAGCAATTTAATAAAGTTGATGGTTCAAGGACATATCAGCTTCACAGGGAAATTTGCACGATAAATCAAGGTAACATGTCTGTTCCAGCTTATTTTTCGAAGTTATGATTGCTTTAGGATGAATTTGATGCTCTTGTACCCCCTCCAGCATGTAATTGCGAAAGATCTAGAATGTATATGGATCATGTACATTATCTTTGATTGTTTTCTTTTCTAATGGGATTGAATGAGACGTATGGGCATGCACGTAGTCAAATCTTAATGTTGAGTCCATTAGCAAGTGTAAGCAAGGTGTATGCAATCATAATGTCAGATGAGAGTCAGAGAATTACCTCGACGATGCGTACTAGAGAAGATATGGTGGATAACACAACACTGCTTGCAGGGAGAGGAACCTATAATTGAACTGATGGTGATAGGTCTGAATCATCCATGAACACCGGTAGAGGATACTATAATGCTAAGAAGAAGGTGAATCAGAATCTATTTTGTGATCATTGTAAGATGCATCGCCACGCTCAAAAGGTGTGTTTCAAACTGGTTTGATATCTAGAAGACTGGAAGTTTAAAAGGAAGCCAGCAGGGTAACATAATGAGCAAAACTTCACAAACTCGACTAGAGGTATCAATGTAACTAGAGGAAGAGGCATTGCAAATAATGTACAGGTTTCTAGAGAAGATGAGACTGCAGATGTGTTTGGACTAGTTGAGATAGGACAGAAGTCTACACATGATCCTTATGACCTTAATTCCATTCGAACTAACCTACAGACACTTGCTGCACAACCAAACTTTACTTCAAAGCAATATCAGAAGATAGTACAACTTCTAAATAAAGAGGAGAAGGCTGCTGAGATGGTCAACATGGTAGGGAATTCCTATGGTAAAATTCTTTCAGCATCCACTAGAGGGAAGGATTATGTGGCTATCATGAATGATAGGAATGACACACTAAATAGTGGAATAATTGGATAGTTGACTCTGTGGAAACATGCCACATGACTTCTCACCTTGATAAATTGGATCATATCAATTCATCTGACAGAAACATAGGTAAGAAAGTATATCTTCCTAATGGGCAAACTACTTTAGTTACTCATTCAGGTAGTTGTGTGATACCAGCAGCAGGGGTATTAGAAAATGTTTTGGTGGTACATGATTTCAAATACGACTTACTTTTAATGGCTTAGCTGACTAGACAACTCAAATGTTCTATCCATTTTGATCCTGAATTTTGTGTTTTTCAGGACCTCTTCAATGGAGAAGTGAAGGGAATTGGTAAGGAGGTATATGGGTTGTACTACTTTTCCAGTTAATTCTCTTCTTCAAACACAACTGCTGATGATGAAAAGGTGGTGTTAATGACAAAGATATGTGAATCACAATGCATAGTATGGCATAATAGAATGGGTCATCCATCTATAAGAACTTTAAGACAATTGTCCTTAGTTAAGAAAGAGTCATATGTTAAATTGTGTGAAAATTGTCCGGTGTGTCCTTTTGCAAAACAAACAAGGCTTCCATTTCCTGTAAATGTGTCGAGAATAGGTGATATCTTTGATCTTATTCATCTTAATGTATGGGAACCATATAGATTTTCTACACATAATGGTTTTAGAATTTTTTTTCTCACCATTGTGGATGACAATTCAAGAATGACTTGGTTGTTTCTAATAAAATACAAAAGTGATGTATTTGGTGTTCTGAAATCCTTCTTTTCATTGGTTCAAATCAATTTGATAAATAAGTAAGAAGAATTAGACCTGACAATGAAACTGAGGTTTTTAATAGAGATTGCAATTCATTATTCTCTTATTTGGGTATAATACAGGAGAGCAGTTGTCCTCATGCCCCTCAACAAAATAGGGTGGCAGAGAGGAAACATAGACACATACTTGAGGTAGCAAGAGCTTTCAGGTTTCAGGGATCCATTCCTATTAGATTTTGGGGAGAATGTGCAGAAACAGTTGTATACTTGATCAACATAATGCCTACTGAGGTGTTACAAGGCCAATCACCTTACGAAATCTTTCATAAGGTTAAATCATCCCTTGATCATTTGAGAACCATGGGTTGTTTATGTTATGCCACCAAAGTTGTGAAGGTTGATAAGTTTTCCTCTAGAGCAGATGCCTGTGTCATGATAGGGTATTCACCAACTCAAAAGGGGGTACTTGTTGTATAATCTGAGCCTTCAAAAAATTTATAATAAACAGGGATGTTGTCTTCAAGGAGCATGTATTTCCATTCAGCAAAATGAAAGATAAATACTTGCCAAATTTTGTTCAACAGATAGATAAACTTGGATATGAAGAGCTTCAGAAAAGAGTTATTACTGATAATGAAGTTCCCACAAACGATGCACTTGATCATCAGAATATTATGAATGACCTGAACCAAGATGTTGAGAATGATTCCTTGGTGAATCAAGATGTTGTCAATGATCCAATTGTTATTAATGATTCCTTGGTGAGTCAAGATATTGTACATGAAGTCAGGCCTAGAACCTCCTCAAGAGTATCTCATCCACCTGTTTGGATGAAAGAATATGTGACTATTATGACAGCCTCCATGCACCCTCATTCCTTAGCCAACTATGCATCCTAACAATCACTTATCTCCCACATACCAAGCATATTTGAGTGGAATATCCACTGACACAGAACCAAGTAGTTATGAAGAAGCAATCAAAGACCCCAGATGGGTAGAAGCCATGAAGCACGAAATTAGTTCATTGGAAGACAATGGTACATGGAGAGTAATGAAGTTTCCTCCCAGAAAGAATGACATAGGGTGTAAATGAGTTTTTAAGATCAAGTATAAGGCAAATGGTGAAATTGATAGATATAAAGCCAGACTTGTAGCAAAAGGCTATAGCCAGACTGACGGAATTGATTATCAGGAGACTTTATCACCAGTGGTAAAAATGGTGACGGTTAGGACCATTATTGTTGTTGCAGCAGCAGAGAACTAGATGATTTATCAAATGGATGTTTTTAATGTATTCTTGCAAGGAGATTTGGTTGAAGAAGTGTACATGGATTTGCCTAAGGGATTCAATAAAAGGGAATGTAGGCTTTTTAAGTCATTATATGGACTTAAGCAGGCTTTAAGACAATGGAATGCAAAGTTGACTGATGCATTGTCTAAATCAGGCTACATTCAGAGTCATCTGGATTATTCCTTGTTTACAAAAAGGAAAGGCACATCATTGGTGATTGTACTTGTATATGTAGATGATTTGTTAATCACAGGGAATGACTCCACATTGATACAAGAAACCAAATAGGTTCTGCACAAACATTTCAAAATCAAAGATTTAGATGAGCTGAGAAATTTTCTGGGAATAGAATTTTGCAGATCAGAGAAGGGAATTGTTATGAACCAAAGGAAATATGCTTTAGAGTTGGTGTCTGAAGCTGTTCTAGCAGGGGGAGACCTTCATCTATACCTTTGGAATGTATCATGAAACTTACTAGTGCAGAGTTTTTTGATTCTGATGCATTATTCACTGATATAGCTAAATATCAAAGGTTGATTGGGAAGTTGCTCTATCTTACTAACACCAGACCTAACATAGGTTTTTCAGTTCAGTGTCTGAGTCAATTTATGCAGAAGCCTACTATGTCTCACTAGAATACAACTCTGAAAGTAGTGAGATATATCAAGGCTGCACCAGGTCTAGGACTACTTATGAGTGCCGAGAAACAAACAAACCTTACTAGCTTTTGTGATGCAGATTGGGCTGCACGCCCCAACACAAGAAGGTCAGTGACTGGATTTTTACTGAAGCTTTGATATCTTGGAAATCAAAGAAGCAGAACACAGTTTTCAGGAGTTCTGCAGAAGCAGAATATAGAAGTTTGGTTACATTGACTGCTGAGGTGGTTTGACTGACTAAATTGTTTAATGAATTGGGGCTGAGCTTAGATAAACTTGTCACCATTCATTGTTATAGCAAAGACAGATTTACAGATAGCAGCAAATCCCGTGTTTCATGAGAGGACGAAGCACATAGAAATTGATTGCCACTTTATCTGGGAAATGATGCAACAGGGCTTGATAAGAACAAGTTATATCAGCACCAAGGATCAACAGGCTGATTTGTTGACAAAGGCACTTGGGAGAACTCAATATGATTTTCTACTTTCCAAGCTAGGTGTTTTGAATATCTTCAGTAGACCTAGCTTGAGGGGGAGTATTGAAGATGAAGGTTCAAGTAGTTAGTTAGGTTCACAAAGTTAGTTAAGGGTTAATTAATTGTACTTGTCATCATTATAGTCGGTTAAGTTTGTTACACAATTCTAGAAGATTAGAAGTAGTTAGCAAGTAGTTAGTAACTAGTACAATTGTATATATAGGAGCTCTTTCTTTCTGTAATCACAGTTTTAGTATGCAATACAAAATTTCTCAATTCTCTCTTCTCTCTTCCTAAATTCATCATATATATATATATATATATATATATATTCTATTATTAAAGTTACCTAAGTTTCATAAGTGGTCCCTAAATTATATTTCCTTAAATCAAAACCAGACAATTTATTTTTAGCACATAAAAATCATTAGACACTGACCATTGTATTCAAAAATCACAATGCTAAAAAATTTTAAACTTGTGTATTGTTAAGGGGAATTTCAATCTATCTTAATGATGCTAAGGGAATTGAAAAGCTTCTTTAATGTATCTAGGTTGGACACAAATACAGTAAAATCAAATATCTATGGAGCGAATATGACAAGCCAATGTGTAAATAATATTTGTGAGTTGACTTGGTACCAAAAAGAGGCCTTACCTTTCAGATAGATATCTCTCAAGATAGATATACATAAATATACATAATTTTTTCCGAAGTTAACGGATGCACGTGTACACAATCTAGAAGGGTGGGTCTGCCTCTAGCGATGGGTGGATCATGTCTACGTGACACCCCAGAAATTTTTTCGAACTAAGACTTGAACCATCCTTCGTTGTGAGTAGGATTTTTACCGAGCACGTCTCCGTCGACGTGCCTCTTTCAACGTGTTTTTTAAAAATAAAATTTAAAAAATTATTTCTTTTGTTCTTCTTTAATTTAATTAGTTTATAATTTTTTTTGAAATAGAATCCGTTTTAGCTATAACTTTTAGTTTTAAATTCAAAACTTAACGCTGAAGCGGGAAAAAAAGTAACTAACAACTTAAATCATGTTAAAATTTAATCAACTTGCTAAATTCTACCTTTCTCTTATTATATAAGAGACCGTTTGTGTTGAAGCAGACACGTCTCCGTCGACGTGCCTGCTTCATCGTATTTTTTTTTAAAAAAAAACTTAAAATTTATTTCTTTTTCTCTACTTTAATTTAATTATTGTATAATTTTTTCGAAATTATGAAATCATTTTTAGCTATGACTTTTAGTTTTAAATTCAAGACTTCACGTTGAAGCAGGATAAAAAGCAATTAACTTAAATCATATTAAAATTTATTCTACTTTCTATATTCTACCTATGTCACATAAATTAAATTAAAAATAAAACTAAAATATTAGGCCCGTGCTAGCACGGGCACCTATTTCTAGTATATATATATATATATATATATATATATATATGCGCAAGGACAAAGCCATAAGTGTGTGAGGGCATTTTTATATTAATTTTAATACGATATGTGGGACCTACAACGTGCTTTTCCTCAACCATTTTTTTCTCGTTCCTGCTTTTCTCTTTCATGTTTTGTTTCATTTTCTATCTTTTTAGTGGAGTATCTATTTTGAAACCAATTTCATTATTACCTAATTTTTATTTTTGCTTATCATAAAAATAAAATTTTCTTTTGTCTTATATATTTTATTAAATAAAAAATATATTGTTTTTTTAATATTATTGTATCACTAAATAAATGCATAAGATATTAATAGTCAAACTTAATATTTTAAAACATAATTAATAAAACAAATTTAATAAAATAAACCTCTAACAAAATACAAGTGAATCTATATATAAAAAGAATTGTGAAATACATATTATTAAATTATATATTAAATATTTAAATATTATTGGCATATAGAAAATATGAGTGTTACAACTATATTGTTGTTGTTGTTGTTAATAAAATAAACCTCTAACAAAATACAGGTGAATCTATATATAAAAAGAATTGTGAAATACATATTATTAAATTATATATTAAATATTTAAATATTATTGGCATATAGAAAATATGATTGTTGTTGTTGTTGTTATTATTAGGTATTTGTCCATAAATTCTAAATATATTTTTTGGTTGCAATTGTTGGCATTGAAGATGAAGTTGTGTTGGTTATATAGTTTGTAAAGAATATTTAAAATGATGTTTTTTTAATGTACTTAGGTAAATTGTTAAAAGTAAAAAATAGTCTAGAAATAGATTATTAGATGTTCAAGTTTTTTAATATAACTTCAAATTGAAAATAAATTATATTTCAAATTTTGATGGCCAAACGTTGATTTTAAAATAAATTGAAATATTATTACGAAAAAAATAAATATTTTTATGTTCGAATGGATCCTAAAACTAGAAGTTGAAAAATATATGAAACATAAAGATGATTTTTTAAAGAATGATAAATGAAAAATAAAAGAAAAAGAAACAAAAAGAATTTTAATAGACAATTTTCAAAATATAAATAACCATTCAAATAATTAATTTCAATTTTTTACGCTCACAACCTCTAATTATCTACAACATGGGCTTGACACATTTTATATAAAATTATCCAGCTCTAACTTATATATTAATCACAAAAAATCCATTGGAAATTCACTAATCGAAAAAGAACAACGGATAAACTAATCAGATCGTCTAACTAATTTGACACAGGTCTTCAGGAAGTTGAGAATTTGGATAGAGCATTAGTAATTCACAAGGACTATCAAGGCTTACATGGAGACAGCTTGGGAGGGCAGGATGCTGTGGTGTTAGATACGGTGGAGTTTGAGAAAGAGCCTCATCTGCATTTAGAAGATGTTGATAACAGATACAGGTCAGACAATAGTGAGGAGCTCCTTACTGGTTGCTCACCTGTCAATCAAGAACATATGCACAATGTTAGTATGATTAGTGCTGCTCAAAATGCAATAATCAAGTTTTCAGGGGTAATCAAACAAAGTTCTCCTATCAAAGAACTTCATGATTTGGTTTCTCATAAAATTGTAGATAAAGACAACACTTCAGTAGAGGTAACAAATCAACAGCAAAATGATCTAGTAATAAACAAGGATGAAAATGAAAACTACAGTGATCATGCACAGGTTGTAAATAATGCAGGAGGTTCCCCTCAAGGGAAATCAAAGAAGAAGAAGACTAAATCTCAAGGGGATAAGCCTATTAGGATTAACCCTATGAGGTCTGGTAGAGCTATGTCAAAATGATCTTTAAAGCATTAATATGGAATATTAGATCAATTAGATCTAAACATTCTTTCCATAGAGTGCAAATGCTTCATAGACATCACAAATTTGATTTGGTTGCCTTGATGGAACCTTTTCAAGAGACTAGGCAGATCCAACAGTATAAAAGGAGACTAGGCATGGCCTATGCAAATTATAATATCAATGGGAAGATTTGGTTGTTTGTAAAGGAGGACATTCAGGTGGAGGTTGTTTCAGATTCTGAACAACAGTTGACTATTAAGATGTTATTCCGTAGTGGATATCAGATTGTTAGTACTCTTGTCTATGCTAAGTGTACAACTGTTGAAAGAATTCAATTGTGGGAAGATTTGTATGTCATTGGGCAAAATATGTATTTCCCCTGGTGTGTTGGAGGGGATTTTAATATTATTATGGATGCCGAAGAAAAGATAGGTGGTCTACCTGTCTATCCTACTGAGGTGGATGATTTTGCATTTTGTGTCAATTCCTGTGAATTATTTGACATTAAATTCAAAGATAGCCCTTTCACTTGGTGGAATGGGAGGACGGATGGTGATTGTATTTTTAAAAGATTAGACAGGGTTGTAGGGAATCAAGCATTTTTGGAAGGGTTGGGTCATGTGGAGTTAGAACATCTAGCTAGGACAGGGTCAGATCATGCTCCTATGTTGCTATCTTGTGGAGTTAAAACTATCCAGTTCCTCAAACCTTTTAGATTCCTCAACTTTTGGTCTGAAAAGGAAGGGTTCAAAGACCTGATTAGGCAAAATTGGGTTGATGATCATTCTGATGATGTGTTTGTTAATTTAAAGCTCAAGATGAAGAAGACTAAACTAGCTCTTTCTAAGTGGAGTAGAGAAAGTTTTGGGGATATTTTCAAACAATTAGTTATAAGGGAGGATATTCTGAAAATCAAAGAAAAATTGTTTGAGGATGTTCCTTCTGATGCTAATAGAATTATCCTCAATAGAGCTCAAGAAGAATATACAAAATACTTGAAGTTTGAAGAGGATTTCTGGACACAAAAGGCTGGGATGCAATGGTTCATTGAAGGAGATAGGAGCACTAAATTCTTCCACAATATTGTAAGAGGAAGAAGAAGATTAGAAATATCCAAAATGCATAAAGCTGATGGTACATGGGCTGAAGGAAGTGAAGTTGAGGGAGAGGCTGTAAAATTCTTTCAAGATCAATTTTCCAGTGATTTGCAGGAGTCTAGTCTACCCCTTGTGGATTTAATTCCCTCTTTGATTAAGGAGGAAGATAATGCAATGCTTAATAGGATTCCCTCTTCTGAGGAGGTTAGAAAGGTGGTCTTTGAACTTAATGGAAATAGTACAAGTGGACCTGATGGTCTGACTGGACACTTCTATCAAGTTTGCTGGGATATAGTAGGAGATGATGTTGTGAAGGTGGTACTTGCTTTTTTTGATGGGATGACTCTCCCTAAATTCATCACCCATACCCACCTTGTGTTGATTCCTAAGAAGGAGAAAGTGATTTCATTTGTTGATCTAAGGCCTATTAGTCTGAGAAACTTGATTAATAATGTTATTTCCAGAGTTGTTCATGATAGACTGGAAGTATTCTTACCTACTCTTATTTCTGCTAATCAATGTGGTTTTGTTAAAGGAAGAAGTATTACAGAAAATGTCCTACTTGCTCAGGAGATTATTGTGGATATCAGGAAGAAGAGTAAAACTACTAATGTGGTGTTTAAACTTGACATGGCTAAAGCATATGACAGGGTAGATTAGAGCTTTTTGATTAAAGTATTGGAAAAAATGGGCTTTAACACAGTATTTATTGATAAAATATAGAGGCTGGTGGCCAACAATTGGTATTCTGTGTTGGTTAATGGCCAAGCTTGTGGATTTTTTCACTCAACTAGGGGTGTTAAACAAGGAGATCCTTTATCTCCTTCTTTATTCATTCTAACAGCTGAAGTCCTTACTAGGGCCCTTAATAATTTGTTCAGCTATGCAGGGTATCAAGGGTTTGGTCTTCCAAAGTGGAGTGAACAGATTAATCATCTTGCCTATGCTGATGACACTATCATTTTTGCTAAGGCAGACAAATTTTCTTTGAACTTGATTATGAGGACTTTACAAGATTATGAATCCCAATCTGGTAAAAAATTCAATAAAGAAAAGAGTGCATATTTTGTTTATCACAAGGCAGCACAAAGTGACATCCAGATGATAGAAGAGTGTAATGGTTTTACCAAAGGTAAGTTCCCTCTAACTTATCTTGGGTGCCCAATTGGGCATGGCAGGAAAAGGAAAACTCAATTCTCTGAACTCATTAAAAAGGTTCAAAACAAAATTCAAGCTTGGAAAGGGAAGCTTCTGTCGTTTGAGGGTAAGTCTGTATTGATCACTAATGTATTACAGAGTGTTCCTATATATCAGTCGTCTGCTATCATTCCTCCCAAATGTGTCATTCATGATCTTCATAGAATCTTTGCAAGATTTCTATGGAATTTTAAGGAAGTAGGAAGAAATAAACACTGGGTTTCCTGGAACAATGTATGCTTACCCAAAAAAGAAGGTGGTCTAGGATTTAGATCCTTATTTGATGTTTCAAGAGCTTTATTTGCTAAACTATGGTGGAATTTTAGAACAAAAAATACTATGTGGTCCCAGTTTATGTGGAATAAATACTGTAAAAGGCACAGACCACAAACAGTAGAGTGGAGAGGGGGTTCTCAAACCTGGAAATATATGCTAGCTGCTAGAGATTTTTTTGATCAGGAAATATGGTGGCAACCAAATGGTGGGCATTCTAGTATCATGTTTGACAATTGGACACAATTAGGGGATCTATATTACTACCTACCAGTGTCTAATAATAATGAATGGATGCATAGAGATGTTGATCAATTATTTCATGAAGGGAGGTGGAATGAAGAGCTCTTAAGGACCGTATTCCCTGAGAATGTTGTAAATCATATTCTCAATGATATTGAGAGATTTCAGGATTCAGAGGAAAGAGATATTCCTAGGTGGATGTTAAACAACTCAGGGAAATTCTCAATGAAGTCTGCATGGGACAATATCAGAATCCCTGGAATTGAGGATGATAGTTTTGCTAGGATGTGAGAGAAGGGTGTACCTTTTAAAGTATCTTTCTTTTTCTGGAGATTAGCAATGAAAAGGATCCCTATTGGTGAAGTCCTAGCCAGATTTGAAACTGAGGAGGAGATGGTGTGTTGCTGTTGTGATCAGATGGCTAATGAAAGTTTTCAACACCTCTTTGTCTCCTGCCTTGCTGCTAATCAAATGTGGAGTAGTTTTACTAGAGCTGCTGGTGTAGAAGGTCCTTTTCTTCAGATAAAGGACACAGTGTATAAGTGGTGGAATGCAACTTGTTCAGCTAATCTTAGACCTCTATTCAATGCTATACCTGGTCTAATACTCTGGCAAATTTGGAAAAAGAAGAATAGAATAAGACATGGTGACAAAATGAATGTGCAAGGAATGATAAATGGAAGTAAACAAGAACCTGCACATGTTAGCTGTTTTTAGATACCCTTGGCTGAGGAATATCCCTGAGGATTGGCCAAATTTGGTGCATTTCTTTGAAGGATATAAACCAATCTTAGTTCCTAAGGTCATTCATTGGAAACCTCCTATGGAGGGGACCTATAAATGTAACTCAGATGGAGTTTCTAAAGGAAATCTTGGACAAAGTGCTGGTGGGTTTTGCATCAGGGATTGGAAAGGTGAATTTATATTTGCTGCAACCTATGATCTTGGCAAAAGAACAGGTTTGCAGGCTGAAACTAGTGCCATGGAGAAAGGTTTAAATTATTGTGTTACACATAATTTACTTCCTGTGTGTTTAGAGACGGATTCACTGGTTTTGACCAAGATTTTAAATGGGGTATTGGAGGTCCCTTGGAGCATTAAAATTCAGATTCAGAAGATTGAATTTTTGAGAAACAATAGGGAGGTTGCAGTGCTACATACGCTCAGGGAAGGCAACAAAGTGGCAGACTACTTCACTAACTTTATTTTTTCTTTTGCAGGTACATAAAATAAAACTTTCCAATCAATTCAAGATGTACCAAAGGAAGGAAAATCCTTAGTACTCATGGATGCAAATCAGATTCCAAACATTTGAATTACTAAAATGCAAAATAAACTCTATGGTTTGTAGTTTCGAACTATAATCTTTGCACAAAATGAAATGCAATTGCAGTATAAGTCAAGCAGAGGAGAGAAAGGAAATACCTAACAAATATACATAGACTTTAGATCCTAGCTTCTTAGACAGTGGTATCAGTTCCCTCGGAGCTCAATCTGTCAAGAGGCGAAGATCTAAGGAAAATGGTTTTCTACAAGGCACTGATATCTGGAGAAAGCTCCAAAGAAGATAGATCTGTACAGCAATGTAAGGGCAATGAATAACAATGTGATATTGAGATTCTTGTTGAATAATCGATAGGGATGTGGGGGTTACCTCTCACACAGGAAAGGGACCAATGTTTTGAGCTGAAGAAGTCTTCAACGGACAAGAATACATGGCGTTAGTGAGATTTTTAACGTCTTGATGTACTCTATCCAAGCTCGATGATATGAGTCTCTAGTTCCACAGTGAGTAAGGTCTAACTCCTATCTCATCATTTGCACAAGGATCTTTGATGTAGGTCCACCATAGCTGCCGGAGTCGAGAAGAGGTTGACGGAGGTCCACCATTGATGACGGAAGATTTAGAGACAGTGGTGTCTTGACTATAGGAGGGTTTTGTCTTTCCCCTTTTTATTTGTTTTTTGTTTCCATTTCTTGTTTCAGATTTTGGATTAGGCGTTTTGGGACTAGTCCCTTTTGCTGTTTTTGTCTACTTTCCATTAATAAAAGGCTATAAGCCACCTCTTAATTTTAAAAAAAAATTGAAAGATCATTCATTAAAATTAAAAATTTTAAATGTGAAAAGATTTTAAATAATGTCATGCAAATACATTTTAAAAAAATTGAGATAGAGAAAATAGTGGAGAAGATTACGCAATATAAGTATATGAGAATTGAACCTTTACCAATAAAATAAATATTTAAAATTCCATATTGCAAATAATAGATATGCACTTATGTAAATCTTTAAAGAAATAAACATTCAGTAAAATGGGAAAAAGAAAATATGTTGGAAGAGGAATAAAGAAAAAATAAAAAACTAATGACAAATGAATGAAGCAAGAAAGAAGAAGAAAAGGGCTATTAAGTCAAGTGTCAGAAGTACAATGAGTCTTTGACAACTTGACAAGCGAGCCCTAAAATTGTCCATTTGTCAATCACACAAAACCTCACACAAGTATGAATTGGTATACCTTAACAATAATAAAAAATATCACATTACCCTACTAAGTACTAACTTACAAACACTATTAATTTTCCAAATATTTAGAATTAGTTTTACAGTTTTAATTTAAAATAAAAGGTAAGTTTAATTCGCATATGGCATGTGCACTTTCTCTATCTGATCAGTATCGGACTCTACCAGAATGGTTTTAGTATCTGCAACAATGAAGGATCTTCTTTCCTTGCAATTCGGTTTGAGTCTTGTGATATGCTTAAGGTACTTAGGTTTACGATTTTCAATCTTTCACACAGCTATACGATCATACACCTCATCGCTTACCACGCTTTCAGTGAACATGCGAGCTGTCTGATCATTAGAGATATTCATCTCTCAACTTTTCCTCCTATATATCACCAAATATAAAATAACGTGACTTATTTTGAAGATAGACACGTCTATATTCTATTTAAGTGGAAAGCTATAATTGGAAAACCATTTGACAATTTTAAAAAATAAAATATAATAATAATATTTTTAAAAAATTGAATCAAAATACATATAAAAAAAAATTATATTTTGGAGATAGTTTTTTTTAAAAAAATCAAAGTAATTTTAGAGATAAGTAATTATCACACTAAAGAGTTCTAATTGGACTTTTATTGTCATCATCATATATAGATCAAATTCCTAATTTTTAAAAAAGGAGTTCTGATTGGTCTCTTTTTTAACTATTTATCGTTTATATATAGGTTGCTTTTAACAACACATGTTTTTTAAATTTGAAATTAAAAATATAATATCATCTCTAAGATAAACTTAAACTTTTCAAAAAAAAAATGGTTAAATGTATTGTAACTCACAAAAACATATAAATTCACCCAAATTTTATTTACTTATAACAAAAGATATAAACCAGAGTTCTAAGACGTAATATTCTTTGAGAAGAGTCCTATTTTTGTATACTAATTTCAATGATAAATACAAAATGTATATATAGATTAATAATGTATTAAATTCTATGTTCATGTTTGTATTCTATAGTGATTTATTTACTACTCATTTCATTTTAATTTATCTATCCATTTTGTTTTGATACGTAGTTTAAGATAATAATAAAAATGTAAATCAAACATAAGTCAAATATACTAAAATGTCCTTTCATTTTGTGTCTTATACATGTCATGTGAAAAATCAAATTAAGATGTTGCTAAAAATGAATTATAATATATATTTTTTAAATAAACTAAAAAGAAAAATAGACCAAAACAAGTTGAAGCAAATAGAGTAATTAATTTTTATCTAAGGTAAAACAATCAAAAATAAAATTTGTCTCGATAAAAGCTTGATAGAATGTGTTGTAAAACTAACTACCTTGCCAGTGGTATACCAATTATACACAATATAGTGAATTTTCTATTGTTCAATGTGTGTGTATCACAAATTATATACTTGAAATTAATAGCTTAATTCATATAAAATATATACATCATAGGTCTACTTGGTCCTAACTGTATGAAAACTGGATAAAATATGCTTTCACAATCATAACCAAGTAACATTACATGCAGATTCTATTCACATGACATACCTCACTAATATCATTATGATTTTAGTAAACATAGCTGATTTTATACCAATTATTCACTACTGAATCACATACCTCAATAAATTGCAAGTACTTGAACATAGGATGCTTTACCTACACTAAATAAGTTGTCATATTCTTTTATATAAAAAATATACGCTACAAGTCTTTTTGGTCACGATTGTATATATGGAAAATGGTCAAAAATATCCTTCAACTATGTTAAATGAATAAAAATGTCCTCCCATGATAGTTTAGTTTAAAAAAATTTCTTGCTTTCAATAGTTTGGTAAAAAAATGTTCTTATTGTTACTTAATGGGTCAAAAATGTCATTTTCCAAATATATATTTTTTTCTTTTAAACACATTCTTTTTTCTAATAATTTTTATAATTAAAAATGTTTATCCTACTTCAATCTGAAAAAGATTAAGAAATAAAAATATTTTCTATTTTATTAGGAATTTTTAATCATTATCTGAATGAAAATTAATGACAGGATTACTGTAATCTTATATTATTTTTAAAAAATTTACATGACCTATATTATGTCATGACCTAACCCACCGGGCCATGTGAACACCTATTCTAACACCTAGATAGAAGAACCCTCACCACTCAAACAAGATTAAAACATTCAAAAAATAAATAATTGACTACAAAAGCTCGTTAACAATATAACGTTAAGAAAATAAAACTTTAAATAAAACCCTTTTTCAAAAGACAGAAAAGTATTTCCTTGAATTTTATGAATTGTGTTAAATAGTCAATTTTATTTGTCGTATTAAATTAGTATGAAGATGAAGAAATTTGAAGCTTAAACGAATTTAAGATGAAATATTGTAGAAGAAAATCAAGCAAACAACTTAATAAATTAAATTGAATATAATAATACATCCATTACATATATATATAAGTGACAATAACCCCTGCCTGGCAGCTGCACTACTTTCCCTTTTTTGGTGGTTTTTTTGTTTTAGTTTGTGTGTTTATACATACATATATGGCCAAAGTCATCTGTAGCCACTTAAAGTTGTCTGTGTATTTCAGTTGAACACCTCATCTTAGACTGGTTCCTATTGAACACTTTTATTAGTAAAAAAAAATAACAATTAAACATTTTTTGACAATCAACTAAAAATAGAAATTGTGTGTCATACACTCGCGATGACGTGGCAGAGTAACTAATCAGAAAAGGACATGTGGCGTTGGGCCCATAATAATAATTAAAATATATTAAAAAGTAAAATAAAATAAAAAATTGTTTTCGGCCAAAAAAAAAAAAGAAAAACTCTTCTCTGCCTTTTCTTCTTCGCCAAAACGCCCACCCCCGACTTCCATTCTTCCTCATTTTCTTCTTCGCCGGAAAACACACAGCGGCCTCCGGCTAAAACTGCATACTCCAATGGCTATCACCTACGTCCTCTCCTTTATTCTAATTCAGTATTGTAGTTGTCATTTTTCTCAATCTCATTCTTTTTTTTCAAATAACAATCAAGATTAGTTGATATTTTTTCTTCTTCACTGTTGTGGGTTCTTTAGAATTTGAATTTTGTAGCGATTTCAAAGAAAATAATTTCAGATTCATATTAGTCTTGTCGGAAAAAATGGAGTTTCGCCGGAATTATTTTTGACTCAATTTGATTTTTATTTCTTTAATTAATGTTTTTTCTGATAAAGAAAACAACAACGATAATGATGATGACGGGATTATGCTAGAAAAAAAAGAAAGAATGCAGGAGTAGATGGGTGTGTCTAGGATGGTGGCAGGCAAATAAGTATGTTGGATTGAGAAAAAAAAAAGAATGCAGAAGTAGATTTAATTTTTTTATATATAGAAATTATGATTTTTCTAATGTTGACATGTCTAATTTTGATTCGTCCGTAAAAAAATATTTAGCTTCACTCGCCTTTTTGGATGTGTATTACACTCATGATGCCATGTCACCAAAAAGTATTCAATAGGTACATGTTTTGAACGATAGAAGTGTTCAATAGGTACAACTCTTAGTTGATGTGTCTAAGTGAATTATGCGAACAACTTTAAGGGGCCGCAGATGACTTTGGCCAACAAGAATTTGTACAAACACCATACATCACATGCATAGATATATGTTATAAAATACAAATTGAAAGATCGCATGCCTGCCTGGCAACTGCACTACTTTCTCTTTTTTTGGTGGTTTTTTTGTTTTAATTTGTTTGTCTTATTTTTTAAATATTTAAAAATTTGTAAGAATACTATAAATCATGATAATTCCCAACTTAAAATATTTATAAAAGAACATATAAAATTTTGATTGATTCATAAAATTAATCTATTTGTGTCACATAAAATGGGATAAAAAAAGTAACATTTATTATTTAATTTGAAAACTACGTAGAAAGTATTGTAAATCTCAATAATTAACAACATTTGATTGACTCTTGAAATTCTATTTGTGCTACATACATTGGATAAGAGAAGTAACATATATTATTAAAAAAAATACGTAAAAAGTACTATAATTACAATAATCAAAAGAAGTAACGTGTAATATTTAATTTGAAAACTACGTAAAAAGTATTGTAAATCTCAATAATTAACAACATTTGATTGACTCTTGAAATTCTACATGTGTTGCATACATTGGGGCAAGAGAAGTAATATATAAGTATTATTTAAAAATTACGTAAAATTACTATAAATTACAATAATTAATAACTTAAAATATTTAAAAATCATATTAAAATTTAATTGACTATCTAAATTATATCTACATCACATAAAATGAGACAAAAAAATAACAGATATTGGATCCGTGCTAGCACGAGCAATTGTCTCTAGTAGTATATTAGAAGTGAGAAGAATTAGAATTGAAATATAAATCTTCTGCCACGTGTCATGATGACTTTGAAGACAACAACAATTGTTGAACGTTGTCAGTGTTCATGCATGAATCTGAGTCTGTTAAAG